TGCCTTCAAAGACGAGTATTACACAACTGAGCATTGCAGGAGGTTTCCCTTGCACACACCAAGAGCCTAATGCAACACAGTGAAGTTTTGCAAAATAACTCTGTACAGTTGAAAGAAATTTGCTCTATGGTCAGTGATTTGGCTTAGCTTTCCACACCATTTAGCTTCTTGCATAACCTGGCAGGTATGGTGCAAACTAGGATCTATGACAATGTAGCAGGTTTTATAATCAACAATGCAGCATATCAAGCAACTTCCAAGCCTGAAGCAGTCACCTAGGCAATTGCTAAGTTTGCAACAGAAAAAGGCCCAGTTTTCCCCTTAGCTTCCAGCCTGCCAGTCTGTGTGTTTTCTTGCAGAGTGTTTATATGGCAATGTTGGGAATGCAAGGATTTGAGCACTGCTTAGTGCTTTGAAGACAATTCTCAGCATTTATATTTACCTATACACAGTAAGAAGTACATCTAAGAACGTTTTGACCAAATTTGACCTGGCAACTCTCCTAATAGGCTTTTGTAACCCAGGCTCCCATTTCAGAGCTTTCATTTCCAAACCCCTCACAACCCCCTAAGTACATTTTGAGGTTAAATGTCAATACTTACAGCCTGGAGCTTCATTAAAGTCACTGAGAAGACACAGCTCTGCATTTCAGCATACACTTAACACCCACTTCTAGCTTAAAATTTTTCCTCAAATACTATGTCCAAGTAATTAAGCTATCACAACAGTATATAATTTTTCTATGACATCATACCTCAAGGACACAGGATGATCTTCCCCAGCTCCCTAATATGGAGTTCTTCACTTCCAGAGCAGAAAGGCAATAGAAACATATAAGTAGAAACGACTTCAATAAGAACTAGCAAGCAAGGAGTCCCAGGACAGATCTGAGAGCCAAACCCAAAAAGAGCATTTGGGAGCTCTTGTTAGTACAGCAAAATTGACCCTGAGAAATAAGACATGCAGCTTTTTATAATACAAAGTAAAAGCAATAGAACAAGAAACAGATGGAAAAGGATTAGTAAATTCTGCTGACAGAAGTTTAACAGGCTTCTCATACCAGCTGGTCTGTTCTAGCCAGGAGAAACTGAAGATCCTTAAGACAAAGTCCTTGCTTTTGAAGAGCATTACAGTAACCCCCAAGTAACCCCCTTGTTACAGAGAGAAAAGCTTTAAAGTTGCCTTCCTCAGTGCCTCTGACACCACGCCAAACTTCCCCCATTGTATTGCATTCATTCATTCCAAGACAGACAATTTAAACCTAAAATAAAATACTTTATTTTCCCCCATATAAATCATTTTCCCTTCTTTTATAAAGGTCTTTTAACACTTATTTGCAGATCAAATGAAAAGACAACGGCCTCATAAACCAACATCGCCTAATGCAGTTAGGCAAACACAGACATCCTTCAAACCAAAACCATGCACCGAGTAGTGATTACACAAGCCATTCGTGACTGAATCCTGGGGGTTTCCACAAGCCTAAACTTGGCTGTGCCCATGTGTACAGGAAAAGCAACACACAACTGCATTTGCTCGGAGGGTTATGGCTTTTTAAGCTGGTTTAGCAAGGAAAGGGTAGCAAATTTTGTCAACAACAAGCTAAACTACCTCCGAGTGGGGAAGAGCTTCCTGCACCTAAAGGTTCTGCTTGTTGCAAGCAGAAGTGTCCGCAGCCATCTGCTAATTCTTGCAGTAAATTTCTTTTTTAGGACATGGAAACAGTGTTGGAATTATGAGGAGTCACATACAGGGCTGAATTCTTGCCTAAAACACACCCGATGAACAGACATTTCTGACATAAACAGGTAATGCCATTTGGTCTTTGCATCTGCTGAATTGAACGCACAAAGAACTAGGGCCGAGACATGAACACGGCACTTCCAGAAGCCACTGAAAGAATGACATGGAGAAACCATCACCAGGTTTTGGCAAAAAAAATAGAATTTCCCTGTCTTCACTCACTAATGTGCTAAAAAAGCCACTAAACCAGAGGATTTTCCAAAGCACAAGCAGGAACTTGAAGGCTCTTGTTCAAAGCGAGAAATGGTGGGAACTAGTCCTGATAAACAAAATAATTTAGTTCCATCAAAAACAAGACAAATTGCAAAGGGTTTCCCCTTCTTCGCCCCTAAGAATTAATATGCTCTAATTAATCCATAAAATAAATAGTAAGATGGCAAACAAATCTTAGAAAGGGTAACAGGACACATTTTAATTTACCCAGCAAAGTGGCCAGAAATCCTGTATCTTCCCTTTTTCTAACTGTCCAGTATTGAGCCCTTTCCTTAAGGCCCAAATTGTTTTTCTAATAGACAAAAATTCTGCTAACTATATATATATTTATAGCCTGTAATTTGATAGAAATAGCTCAAATTAAAACAAATAGATACAAATTAATACCATTTTACAGACTACTGGATTTTATACTACAAATCTCATTATGCTTTGCAGAAATTAAATTGGAAAACCAGTGGCAAGCACACTTGCACGCTGCGCACATCAAATGCGCCTAAATAAAATATAAAATCAGTAAAAGCAAGCAGCACATTCCTAAACTTTAATGTACTCAACTAAAAATCAGTATTTTCATTTAGTGGAGAAGCCAATTTATTTAATCCTCGTGCAAGTACTTATTCCAAAATATTATGATAAAAGACCCAAAAAACTTCTGAAAAACTGAGCTTGCTATCACAGAGCCTGGACAGCAATTCCTCCTTGGAAACATGGAACAGTGGTCACCGCACAAACTCCAATTACCCCAACTTTGAATTATTTCTTGATCACATCAAAACCAATCTATTATTTTCCCCATCCATTTCCCTGCTTGAAATTTAATGATCCTAAATAGAAAAGGCAGTACCGACTAACTTGGAGCACATTAAAAAAAAGCAAGTTAAAAACAGCCAGGATTGAGACATGTAATCAAGTCTCATCCCAAATCAAATAAGAACTGCTCAGCATCGAACCCTCTCCAAAAAAATTAACACTTCCCTTGCATTCTTACTTATTCCCAAAATGTCACAACAGGAATTTTTATTATTATTTTTTTACTTTGAAGAAATCTTTGGTCTAAAGGCAGCTACAGCAACACAGGATTTTCACAACTAAAGGGACTAGCATCATTCCTAAAAAAAGGATTATCCAGACCACATCTTTCTAACAGGAGCAGCCACTCTCAAAGTTACTCTGTCATCTCCCAACATGTGGCAAGGAACAAAAAAAGACTTCAAAGCAAAATGGACCTCAGGATCTCCCGCCACACTGTTTCCCTTCATTTTCAGAGATGTGGCTTTTCACAGAAGGGTAGGCACCTATTTATTATTTTTTTTAAAAAAAAAATCCTATCCAGAGAGGCTATTTTCTCCCCTCTGGCTGAGGCTGACAGTCTAGCACATTTTGAAATGCAGTTTTGGGGATGTTTACAATACATCCTCCTAAAAATTTAGGAAAACGGAAAACCTGCCCAATGCTATTCAGAAGGAAACTCAAGGAAATTTGCTGTTAGCAGACAATACCTTCATCCTGCTTCCTGTCTCAGGAAAATAAGGCTTGGACAAGGGGTCTTTACTGTCCTACCATGCACTCTTCCTCTATAAGGCTTCTAGTGATCACGGTTTCTTTATTCCTCAGAAAACTCATCCACTGCCCTGCTTGTGCTCTTGACTTGAGAGGCTCTGAGCTGCCACGTCTTCCTGATCAGGGCAAACCATGACTCAGCTCTCAGCTAAAAAAGAAAGTTCATTTAATAAATTAAAACAGGCAATGACCAGCCCCAGAAGCCTCTGTTGGGTAGATTGTGCCGCTTCTATTTACATGCGACTGTAAAAAGGTTTTTAGAAAGTGTTAGGAATTACACTTGGGTCATAAGCTCATTCACCTACCAAATTCTTAAATAAAAAATGAACCACTAAACACATTAAGTTCTGCCCCGATCAATGTGGCAAAAAAGCCTATTAAATGTGCAGCACTTCTAGGAAACAAAATAAAAGAAAGGAAAAAAAGAAACAAAACAGTTTTTCAACAGTGCTTTTGGTCCTTACCAGTAATCAATTATCCTTCAAGCTCCTACATTATATAATTAGAAGTGCTTCCATAAGGTGACTGGTAATTAATCAGGAGACTAAAATTTTCCTTCTTACTGCACTTTCAAGCTTTTTTCCAAGAGATCTTGCACACAACAGTAAAGGCATTTTTCCCTTGAAAGACATTTCTCCCTCTGAGCAAGTTTCCCCATTTAAGCTACAAACTTAAAATTTAAGCATTAACAGACCCAAGTTGGGCGTCAAAATTTGGCTCTCACTACGAAAAATTTATATTGGATCCTCTTAAAGGACTTGCACTGATCACTAATTTTCTCATTTTTATCTCGAAGCAGAGACAAATTAAACTTTCATCATAATTTTTTGAAGAAAGTATCATGCATTTTTTCAGCTTAATGCTCCTTCTGTGCTCCCACAAAGCACTTCTGGTGGACAAATCCGTACATTATACTTTTAATCTGAAAAACATTTGTACATCCTTATTAAGGGCCACTACCGCTAGACTCACTTTCACTCAGGTATCTCAAGACAATTTAAGGCCCCCATAAATCACTTTAAAGTTATGATCTACGCATTGATTTTTGGTGGAACAAGGCCATAAAATGACCTGCCAAAAAAGACAGCATAAACAAAATTAAAACCAAAGAGCATCTTTCCCTGGACTCTTTTGCTACTGCTTAAAAGCAGCTTTTTTGAAGCTAATATTTGTTAGCCCACTCGCAAGACACTTCTCCCTTTGTGTCTTGCAGCAGACTCGCACGCTGCCAAGCATTTTGGCCCAAACACAGAATCTGGGCTTCCACAACCCCTGGGAGCTCAAACTGGCAGCTCGGAAGCACAGCTGCCAAGTCAAGGTTTTACAGGGATACTCCAGCCACACGGCAGCACTTCTAACGACTTCCACCTGCCTGGGAAACCAGCTCTAAGGGCAGGAACGTGCTCCATTCTCGAGCTGGTTTAGAAGGAAACACTGCTAGTCATCTGCTGCTGCTCAGCTTGCACAATCAAGTGGAGCTGTCTCTTGGCAATGACCGTGTTCAAATCCCATAAGAACTCCAAGAGTTTGCCCTGGAGCAGGGCCTCCATGGGCACAAACTGCAAAACCTGCTGGGGAGAGTCCGAGTCCAGCAGAGAGCACATGAGCTGGTTCAGGTGGTGCAGATACTCAGCAGCTGCAGCTGGGAGGCCCTGGTAGCCGAGGCACAGCAGAACAGCACAGGTCCTCAGCGGCTCGTGGGAGGTGGGACAGGCAAACGCGAGGCACCTGAAACAGCAGTGCAGGACGAAGACGAGGCCAGCTGTGAAGCGCGTAAAACATGAGAGAATAGGCAGAACCAGCGCATCCCCCGCCTTCAGCTGGCTCAGGGAGCGCAGAACACACTCCAAAAGCTGCTGCTGGTATTTCGGTTCTCCATCATAAACCGGAGAGAAGCCGAACGTCAGCAGCAGGGGCGACTCCAGGAGCTTCATCTCCATAGCGGGTTGGCTTGTGGCACTGCAAAGGGATGGACAGTCCACCACAAGGCACGTGGACCGGTCGCTGCAGCTTGCGTTGAGGACCTCCTGGTGACACGCAGCAAGGCTGGCCAGTTCAGCCAGGAGGAGGTCCCCAGAAAGCACCTCGCACGAGGGACAAGGCCGCAGCGTTTGTCTGCTGCTCAGCCTGGCCCCTGCCCATTCTTCCAGCGCTTCGTTAAGATTTTTTAAGACTTGGCCATCACAAAATGGAGAACATTTTACCATTGGCAGTCTCTTTCCTTCCAAAATGTACCACAAGCTACATTCAAGGCTAGAAGACAACCCTTCCAAAACACATGTTTTACCGGCATTATTAAAGCTGTGCTCTTCGGCCCAGTTATTAAAATAGCCCTTTGCCATTTTATCATTCCACGTAAGGGTTTCCAGCATCTTCCTCTCATTGTACGTACTAAAGTATTTGCTCTTTTGCCCAAACCATTTTGCATTCATGCTGCAACCAGCCTGACATTTCTTCACCAGCCAGTTACTTCTGGCAATAGGTTTCATGCAATATCTTTGCATAAAGAGCTCTACTGCACAATCTCTTAAACTGTTCAGTTTTGTCTGCTCTGCTTCTTCCATACACTTGAAGAGCCGGATGTTCTCAGAGATGGTCTCTACTTGGCACTTGTGGAAGAACACACAACATTCTTCATGCACTTTAAGAAAAGATGCTGGTATCATATGCTGGGGGAAGAGTGCTTTGTTGACCATTTCCGCACCAAAGTTCTGCATCATCTTAGAAAGCAGCAGGTGAACGCTCTCTCTGCCCAAATAGCGAAGACAAACCACATAGGCCTCTGAGTTTCCAGCTTTGCTAGTGGCCGGCTTAAAGACGTGGACCTGCTCGAAGCAGCAGTTTAGGAGAAAGAGCAGATTGGCAGAGCAGTGTTCAAACAACGTGAACATCTTCAGAACAAAGGATCCTCCAGCGCTCAGGATCATTAAAGCGGTGACTGTTTCACAGTAGAGCAGAGGTGAGACAAGAGCTTCCTGTTCACCTGGATTTCCCTGGCAATCAAAACTGCCATCAGCCGTTACCAAGTGAACTGCGGCCATATTATTGATGAAGTGCTGAAGCCCTGTTAGATATTTCAATGTCATCAAGTCACCAGTGTTATCTGGGCCAAAGTACCACCAAGGCAAGGTATTCGCAATGAGACGGTCATCCATAATCATGACGAGGGTGTCATTTGCCTCATGATACGGGTTGAGAGTGTTAGCTGCCCAATTCCAGTCGCAAGGGACGCGGTGGGATTTCAGGTAGTGATTGAGGCTGGCTATAAAAGCACCGGGTGCTTCGCAGAGGTGGACAGAGTTGAGTTCTCCATCCTGAAGAGCTTCTGCAGGGAGAAGAGGGAAGCTGCACAGTATCTCGTGAAACTTGCACCAAGCCTGGGTACACAGCTCAGCATTCACCCACTTCTTCACATGTGGAATTATTTTTCCTGCTCTGTTGGTAAGTGAGGTGTGCTGATGCCACTCAACCAGGTTCTTGTCACTCAGCTGATTCTTGACTTCATTCATGGAGTCCTTCAGAGCAAGGAGCAAGTTGAACTCCTCATGATCACAGGTAAAAGCAACACTGGGATCCGGCAGCTTCCACTCATTATTCAAAGGCTTAGTGTAAGAAAACTTCTTGGCAAAGAGCTTCTCGATCTCAGCAACAACATCAGGGGCGAACTTTTCAAGTTTCGGAGTCTGGTCAACACAATGCTTCTTGCATTTGTTCATTCTTGGATTGATTCACAACCTAGCAGGCAGCAGGGGAGGAAAAACACTGTTAGGCTTCTAAAGAGAGTTATATAAATAGGCAACTTTAAATGTAGATATATTTGACAAGAGGTTTAACAAAGAAAAAACATTATTTTGTGCCCAGCTTCACGACTACACAGAGTTTTGGCTAAGCCACTTCAAATCCTTACACCGGGCTTTCCTTGATGGAAAGGCAGTAGTTAAACAGAAGTGAGAAAAGGTTTTCGTGGGTATTCACAGTCCATTCCAACTCCTACCCCAGAACAAATACAAAAGATGGGGGGAAAAAAGATGTGTGCTCCGACAGGCTAAGGACTGGCCTGCATTGGCTTTGTGTGGGACCTGGGGACAGGGCCACCTCCAAAAAGCACTGGAGAAGCAACACAGAGCCATTTACATAGCTACAAAGCAGCTTATTGTAAATAAAGTAAGAATACAAACCAACCCGGACAAGGCCGACCCGAAAGATCTAACTCTCCCCGCGGGCCGCCCGGCCGCTCCAGCTCCC